ATGTCTAATAGAACAAAACGCATTTCACAATTTAAAACCTTACAACAAGGAGAAACTCTTACTTATGCAGAACTCAATATTCAGGCCAACCGTTTGGCACATTATCTGATAGCGCGCGGCGTTAAACCAGAAGATCGAATTGCAATTTGCGTTAGGCGAAGCACGAAAATGGTTGTAGCTCTTCTGGGTATTCTAAAATCTGGTGGCGCTTATGTACCACTCGACCCAGTCTATTCGGGTCAACGGTTAACAAATATTCTGAAGGACGCTGAACCATTGTTACTTTTAGTTGATGCCACTGGCAAAAAAGCTCTTGGAGAACATCAGGTTTCAGTAATTGATGTAGACAATGCCTTGTTTGACAGCCTACCGATCGATAACCCGAACTCGGTAAAACTGGGACTAAAGCCAGTCCACCTCTCCCATGTTGTTTACACATCCGGCACGACAGGAACACCGAAAGGGGTGATGGTTGAACATCAGCAGATTTCGCGTTTTTTTGAAGTTGCACACAAAAAATTTGGCATTAATAAACAGGACAAATGGAGTCTATTTCATTCGATATCTTTAAGTGTTTCGGTATGGGAGATATGGGGTGCATTGTTTAATGGGGCTCAGCTGGCAATTGTACCTTACAATACCAGACGTTCTCCTCACGAATTTTATGATTGGGTCTGTTCCCGAGGAATAACTGTTCTCGTTCAACCCCCATCCGCTTTTAAACTGTTTATGCAGGCGAAAAATATTAGTGTGCGGTCCGATGTACTACGCTTTGTGTTCATTCGCGGCGAAGAGTTGAGTCCAATGATTGTAAAGAATTGGAACGAAAATATTGCAAACAGTCAAACTGTACTAATCAATATATATGGCACTACGGAGACGCCAAGTGCAATCTACAAACGAGTTGAAGTGTCGAAATATGTACATTCTATTGGTCGACCATTCTCTGACGTTCGTGTTTATCTGCTGGACACACGAGGTGAGCTGGTACTATCGGGAGCTGAAGGAGAGTTGTACATTGGTGGCGCTGGTGTGGCTCGAGGCTACCTCAATCGACCAGAACTTACAGCGGAACGGTTTCTTCCTGATCCATTCAGTGAGAATCCAGAAGCACGTATCTACCGCACCGGTGATCGGGCCCGTTATCTTCCTGATGGAAATTTGATCTATTTGGGACGCACCGACCAACAGGTGAAAATTCGTGGCTTCCGAATCGAACCTGGTGAAATTGAAGCTCGCCTCGTTGAACATCCTTTGGTGCACGATGCCGTTGTTTTGTCATGGAAAAACAAGCCTGATACTGATACTCGCCTGGTTGCATACGTAGTCGCCGAACAAGATACATCGCTTGCTCAGATTTTACGCGCATACTTGGTCGCTTTACTGCCTGACTATATGGTGCCAGCGGCTTATGTTTGTCTCTCGTCTCTGCCACTCACACCCAATGGCAAGTTGGATCGACATGCACTGCCACCTCCAGACGACGAGTCATTTTCCCGTCAGTCATATGAGGCTCCACAAGATGAAATGGAAGAAAAACTTGCAAAACTTTGGAGTGAACTGCTATGTATTGAACTTATCAGCCGGCATGACAATTTCTTTGAACTTGGTGGACACTCACTGATGGTGATGCAATTTGTTAACCAGGCAAAGAAACGCTTCAACATCCACGTTGATCCTCGTGGTTTATTTTCATTTCCAATATTGAAAGATTTCGCCGAACGCATTACCAACTCATCCGATAGATTGTATTGTGATGCAGCTGTTCCGGCACGTCAACATGGAGATCAAACACCTCTATTTCTATTGCCAGACGGCCGCGGAGATACTTCTTATGCTTTTGAACTAGCACATGAGATTGATAAAAGTATTCCTATCTACGTGCTACCGTGGTCGTCGCCAGAAAAAGAACAGCCCACATCCATTGAGGAAATGGCCAAAGGAATGATCCCTAGGATAAAGGAAGTACAGCTAAATGGGCCTTGTGCAATAGCTGGTTACTCTGCTGGGGGTATCCTAGCCTATGAAATAACAAAACAACTCATAAACAGTAACTATCCGGTTTCGTTCTTGGGTTTAATTGATACGTACTATCCCAGAGTATCGGATGTTCCGAATGAAACTGATATGCTTTTGAATTATATTGTGTTGGTATCTCCGTTTTTCAAAACATTAAATGATACAGTGTGGTGGGAACGTGTGAGTAAACTTTCCCTCGGCGAAGCCATTGAAGAGGTGAAAGAAAAAAATATTGATTTGAAAAATTCAGACATCGATTCAGAAGCTCTGCTATTGAAACAGCGAATTCATTACCAAAACATATGTAGGGTATACAAGGTCAATTCGCTGCCAATTATAGTAAACTTATTTAAGGCAACAGAATTTCTTCCGTCACCTACTGGCAATGATTTCTTGGACAAAAATATTCAAAAACGTGTTGATTGTGCGAAGAAATTATATAATCGACCTAAACTTGGCTGGGAAAATCTTCCAAACTTACATGTCATTCCTGTGAACGGTGGTCATTTTACAATGATGACAGATCCAAATCATAGAGCTTTATTGGGAAGATCAATATCTCAGTCGCTAATTTTAAAGTAAATATAAAGGCCAACTCCAGATCGCATCTAAATTTCAAATTACGGTTTAAAGTTTTTTAGTAGTGACTTCAAATTAATGAGAGTCTACTGTAGAATTTTGCTTTTATGTTCATTCCATATTATTATTACTTTTTTTCTTTAAGAATGCGGTTCTTATTTTGATGATCTATTTTAAGCAAAAATGTAATTAATATTAAGTTCAGTTGAATAAAAAAATATGCAGAAAACAACTTTCATTCACTTTCTAGGTCGGCAAAAATGTTTAAAAATAAACTAAATGTAACTTAAGAGAATCATATCAATAACAGCAATGCCTCTCAAACGTTTGTTGAACTTATTGAATAAAGTCATAGAGAAAATACGTTTACCAAACTATACGTTGAATATAATGATTATTTCATAAAATCCATGAAAAATTGAAGTAAAATGTTAAAAAAAAATTGTGTCTGGAATACCTTGAAAATTGAATATAATACCGTTGTTCAGTACAAAAATTAGCTATAGAGAGTTTCGTGTGCATTTCAAATGCATCAAATATCATTAACTGTCAAGGATAATCTATGGTGTTCTTTTTCAAAGCATCATGCAATATTCACCGTTTTTCAGCACAATTAATTGGCTACACATTGAGTTTATAGGGATCTCTTTCACTTGTGAAGAAAGATAAAAGTGCAAATAATCAGAAGCTTTTTGTATTAATTCAAAGTGGATTAAATGGCATTTTCCATATAAATATTAAAAAAGGTAGTGGCGCCCCCTTTGAATTCAACAGAATGAAAATTAGAAAAAAATATAAACAATATGAGCATAAGTCGCACATTTCCAAAGTATATAATGGACCGGCATACGCAAATTAAACTAACTCGCTTTGTATTATCTCGTCTGGATCGTCATCAACCATTTCTCTTGGTATTTAATTTTTCTTTTGCACCGAAACTGAAAATGATTACAATCTCTTTTAGAATAAATAAAGTTAAATTAACGAGACGGATTACCGAAAAGGGAATGTTGAGAGTTACTTTGTTCCCCCTAAAAACTGAGAGCGAACCATTCAATTTTCAGCATCTCATTCACTCAAACACTTTTAAAAAATGCATATTTTTTTGTTGTTGTCGCTTTGGTGTCCCTTTTGTCAATCTTCGTGTCTACTTTTTACCAAAGTGTCTGGTACTTCTATTTATCAAATTAAATGAGACACTGCCGAGAGAGACAGAGTTACATGTGAATATTTATCGTTTTAATTAGTGATTACGCAGTATATGTACCACTTTGCACTTCAAAGGAAAACTATTCAATCGTTCAACATCGTGACTGCAGTGAGAGGGGAAAAAAGCGTCGCAAAAATGATGCATGGATCATTTTCACAAAGGACGATTTCTTTTAATGATGAAAGTGGGTAAATTTCCGCACGCTGAAAATCATTTTATTACTAGATAATGGAGGTGATAATTTTGTTGCAAAAAAAGGGGAGAAGTGCCACACGATGGCATCTTTAGAACTAATTTGAAGATATCCGCCGAGATAGACTCGATGTCAAAGAGAAACGACACTGATGTTCAGTATTACAAAGATTTTCTTCAAGAATTTTGCCTTTGTGAGTGCAAAAATTTCGCGTCATAAAGCACATATGAAAAGAAGAAGTTTTGCAGCCAGTACTGCGTTTGCAAAAGAGATTTCAAGACATCGAGAAAGTTGGTGATGTGAAAATCCACAAACCAAACGAAAGTCACGCCAGCATGCAGGTCGCGCTTTCGTGAAAATTCCTTTGTAAAATTTACACCGACAAACTTACGCTACATCCAAATTTTTTAATGTTCTCATTTTACTCATATATGCTGCATCATCATCATCATCGTCAACAACAACATCAAACATCACACAACATGTCACAAGCGGAAACAAAAAAAAACACACACACACACGAGAGAAGGAGAGAGAGAGAGTAAGCGTGAAAAAAGCGCCATGAATTGGAGTCATATTAAAACATGCCAACGTCAAACTTTCATCCAACTGTTAAATGAAAGAAAATTCATTAAAATGTAGAATAACTCAACAAATAAAAAAAGTGGCAATATTTGGAAAGCGTTGTCAAAGGCTATATGTGTCCCTCATTCTCTTGCTCACTCAATTTCTCTCATTTTGGTGATGCTTATTTTACGAAATGACTTTTTAGACGCGACACACTCATACATGAGGTTTACATTACATGTTTCTTCATTAAAACTCGATAAATTGAAGAAGTTGGCAGCGAACGTATAAACATCGCCCAAGTTTAATTGAAGACAATGTTTCAATTTTGCTTTCCCAAACGGATTACAAACTCCAAACAAAAGTGTTCGCATTGCACAATAACAAATATCCGAAACATTCCCGCCATTCTAGTACACTTAATACGCGCGCCAAGCATGTGTTTAATCATACCTAGCATCAAACGTTCGTGTATTCGATTCACTTTTCTATCTTATACATGTTGTTTGCATCATCTCAAATAGAATTTCGCGTTTGCTGCTTTTTAGCTGTCGTTGAAAGTTTGTGGTTTTTGAAACACACAACCGAATTTCATTGAGCGTATGTGCAGAGAGTAAATACATACGTTTTCCCTTGGCACTGACTTTTTGATATGTTGTGATAGGTAATGAGCACATTTTTACGTAATATATCAAATAATTCAACACTTTTCTGACAAGCCATCAAACAAACTGATATAATTATCAAAAATAATCATCATTGTTATTATTTGATTTATGTGAAGAACGGTAATTGCGTTCATTCACGAATGTGCACACTCACCATCATGAATGCGGAGTGAATTGTTGTTTAAATTTCGGAGAAAGTTGATTGCCGAAAAAAAAAAACACTCCGAAAAAATATTCAATTTCCTGTGTTCAAAGTAATTAACTGTCAAATGTAATCATGAAGTTTTATTAAAATGTTGGTTAGAAAAAAGCCCCCCTCTCAAGAATTGATGCAGCAAGTCCGAACATTTTTTCTTTTTTTTTATTTGTGGTGTCATGACGACCAACAATTAGTAGTAAACAGTGACTATATCATAAAATAACCGTAAAAACAGGATGTCGGTACTTGTGCATCCAATTCAATTTACACAAATTAAGGGTTTTAATGCACCATCATTTGAGAATGCGAAAAATACACTTTTAATGCTCTTTAAAAGTATTTTCAACAGCATCAACAACAAAAATCATCCATAAACTTAACTCAAATACGTAAACACGAAATGTATCTCACCGTTTCTATGTCACTCTGTGTTTTTGTTGCCGTTGTTGGTGCTGTTGTCGTCTCAAACGGACGAGAAAGCAGTCTGACTGGCGAGTAGAGACATAAAATCGTTTCTAGTTCATTATTAACATCAAACAACCTTACCGTGAATTTACAGTTTGTTCCAGATGTTAGTGTCACAAAAACACATCAAAAATTGTTTGGTCCGGAAAATGTCAAAAAATTTACGTATATTCTGTTGAAGGCATGCTCACCTTTAAAACGGGTCGGAATTTGATTCTAAAAAAGTTGGCTAATGAAAACCTTTTCGAAAATATAATTTTCAGTTTTCTGTAAATTTGCCGTTGATGTTTATTTTTGGGCAAATCGCTTTGAAATGCAGTGGCTCTGGTTTACATCGATCGTGCAAATCAACATATACGACAAATCGGTCGGTGGCATGAAGAAACCGCATCAAGCGTGAGAAGAAAGTACGACACAGATACACCGATGCACCTGAAAACTCTTGAAACTCGATGAGAAAGACTACGAACTAATAAATTTTGCAGTAAAATTTAACTTTTTGTCATATAATTAACTCGGATTGTGAACCAAGTATATGGATTTTCATAGTGACAACCGCACAGCATATTCGGTATAAAATGCTGTTGCCGAACATCGAACAAACAAACAAACGAACAAATAAACAAAAGGAAAAGGGCATGGAATTTTGCGCATCACTTTCAAAATGAATGAAGAACCACTCAATGGAAATTTATGGTTTTGCCATTGCAAATTAATGTTTACTATTTGGTTTTCAACGCTTCTTCATCGCTTGCACTGCATGTGTGTGTGTGTGTTGGACTGCAATAACAAACTACGATGTTGATGGTGATGAATTATTTGGATTAAGCTGCTCAAAATCCATTTATTTACATATCGAGCACTTCTTATTCAAGCATCACTGCACGCAATATCCACTAAATTTGGCAATGATTGCTAATTCCATTGCAAAAAATAAAACAATTCATGGTGTCGTGCACATGATGAAGCAAAACCAGACAGACAAAACCCCATACTATCAAAACTATTTTCTGTCATTCTTTCGTCTTCTCTCTCCCTCTCTTTGTCTTTGCCTTTGTATTTCACTCCAAATGACAAGGGCCAATGAGTGCAAGAGTAAGAAAAATTTCGTTATAACAAGTGCTTGATTTCGAAATTAAAATGAACGAAAATGTCATTTGGTGTCCTTTCTCTCTCTCTCTTGCTCTCTTTCTCATCTCGTTTCTTCTTTTCAGCATGTACACTTGAATTTTACACTCGTTCAATGTTATCTCCAGACCAATTTCGCTTGATTCTAGTTTTATTGTTTTGACGATTCTGTTCGCTGCATTATTCTGTTATTTTACTGTCTCTGACTCCTTCGCCGCTGCATCGAACTACAGAAAACTTTTGTTTTATAGTTCGTTCCCTGGTTTTGTGCACACTGCATCCAAACACATACACATGTATAGATAGATACGCCACATTCTTACAGTGTTCAGTGCTAGTAACTTTGACTGCGGTACACGCCATACACACACACACTCCACACAAACACATCCAACATCGACAATGAGATTTTATTGTTTGAAATATTATTTGTTGGAAATTTTCATCAAGTTCCATTTTCGAATTGTTCAAAAACAAGCGCGCACACACACAAAGAGAGAGAAACATACATTACTGCAATCAATTCAAAAGATGCTTCTTCGTGTTGCTTGTTACGGAGCACACAATTCTATAAAGATAACTTTTAAAAGAATGTATACTGTAAAGTGGAACGAAAAACAACACACATACACAAAAAAGCGAAACAAA